AGGCGGTGGTTGCTTTTAGTCTTTGCTTTGGCTAGGCAGAAACAGCCCCCCGCACCCCACCCCCGGTGTTTGTATTAATGCTTGTGTCAATCAAATGTTTTACTCTCTAGCATGAATTTGTAGCCTCAGACTGTTTGAGAAAATTTGAGCCTCTCCCTCTTTGCGACTAATGTAAGCCTGGACTCTACCTGAAAGCAAGCAGAACTAGAGAATAGTGGCTTCAATGTGCTTCATTGCTGAATCCAACCTTTTAGCATCTCTGAAAAAATAAATAACAATATGTTATGTCCTTGAATATCATAGAAGATTTCTGATGAAGCATGTTTTGGTAGCATCCTRTTGTTCGAACTACTTCCAGGTGGCCGATGATTTAGAGGCCAAAGTGGAGGACTTTTGTTGGATGAGGACTTGGATGCCGAGCTAGGTTGATTGCCGAGTTGGGTAGCTCTTCGGAGAAACATATAAGGATCAATGTTAGAGGACCTGGGGTGGCTAACTCGGCGAGGTCGTTCTAATGCTTAAGTCAGTATTGTGTTGTCTTGGTTGCGAGATGAAAGCTTGAGTGTAGAAAGAGCTAGTGAGCAAATAATCGTGTGTACCTTTTTCGTGTCATTGGGGTTGGTGCCTTTATATAGGCTTTGTTTGGTGTGGCTTCACGCACCGCATCCGAGATTTTCAGGAAGTCGCCTAACCGGTCCGAGATCCCCGGAGGTAACCTCTACGCACGTTGGTCATCCTCCGGAACACTCGGTACGTGGGCCAACTTCCGAGAAACTTGGGAGTGTCGAGATATGCATATCGAATTTGTCGACGAGCACAACTCACAGGTCGCCTCCTGAACTTTAGTCAAGTCAGCAAGCCCTCGAGGGAGGTCACATCGGCCAGTGATGAGGTGCTCCTATCCGGCCTAAGATGTGGTCGAAGTCACTAGGTTGGCGGTAAAGGCAGGTCACCAGGTCGGGGCGAAGATGAACTACGATCTAGGACTCCAAATCATCGCCTAGGTGGCATCTGGGTGTCGTCTAGTTGTTTCGGGTGCCATGTGTCACAATGTCATTGGAGGGCCAAATCCACCCTCATCAATTGCCCCCCACTCCYGAGCTGAAAGTTGCTCGACAAAGGGAGTAGATCGCTCCTTTTGGCCTAGAATGACTAATTCGATAAGCTCGTAGTCGTAAGCATTGGTCCAATTTGCTTCTCAGGTTGGAAGAGTCCAAGTGTTTGCAGCCTTACGCAGGACCTCGTCATCTTGATTATTGGRGCATGAGAGAGAATTCATCCGCTTGAGGAGAGGTGGAGCAGGTACCCCGAGGACATCTACCTTATTAGGGATGGAAACGTCAAGGGGTTTTGCAATCTGACCATTACCTCAAGAGCGAAGTTTATCATGCCATCCTCAAGAGGGGGTTCTGTGTATCTGTTTATTAGGTCGCTCCACCTAGGTAGATTTCGACGCAGTGTCCTTCGAGCTGGTTCTCAAAAGAGTAGCCAGCGAATTCGATGCGGAGCCTAAAACCGAGGTGGAGGTCTACTGTGAAGAGATCGACTAAGTTTGCGTCTGTCATGGTGCTGAAAGCGAACAAGTCTTTGTTCTCTTTCTTGTGYCGAATGCGAATTGCTTTTTATTTTGCCCATGCAAAAGAGGCGATTAGGTCTTATGTGGTGCAGAGGTTTTTTATCAGCTTGGCACCTTAGCCCTTAGGCTCTGGGAGTGACTCACGGTCCACTCTCCTTATCCTTGATTTTGTCCATGCCGAAGAGGCAAATAGGTCATGGCACACCTATGCTGAAGAGGCGGGTAGGACTTATCTACCCATGCCAAAGAGGCGAGTGGGACTTAGCACGCCTATGCCGAAGAGGCAACTAGGACTTATCTGCCCATGCTGAAGAGGTGACTGAGTCTTGTACTGTGTCGAGGTCTTTTTTCAGCTCGACACCATGGCCCTTAGGCT